CGGTTGTGTTAAGGATGTATAATAATAATTAACTACACATCTGGGTCTACTGCACCATTGCTTTCTTATTTTGTTTATCAGGGCGATTGATCGCAAACACGTACAAATGTGACCGTTGGCCATCCATCTGTGCGTAGTGTTAACATATTTTAACATATGTGTGAATACATTTTTCTCGGTTATATATACCGTTTCTGCTTAGTGAGAACTGATTTCCAAAACGTACGATTCGGGACTGGCGTATTGAAATCATAATGAAGTACCATAGCAGCCGGAAGATTTTCCTATTTTGCTTGTGAAAACTCCTAACTAAAATCACTGTTTCTTTGTAAACTTAGGCAATCGGTGCGGAATGTTAAGCTGTAAGTTGAATTCGATTGTTTGAGTGGAGCATCACTTTCGCTGGAGGCCCGGCTTGGTGGCAACTCACAAACGCTTTGTGTGCTACGCTACTTTCGCTACCTCTATCTAGCCGCACCAACGTTGTCATCTTTTTAGAACTAGACTATCAGGATACCCTGTACTGCACAAAAGCTTTGCTACGACGCCTTTTACCTTCTAAAACCGCCTTCTGGGCTTCCGCTAAAGCACTGTGGGCACAAGGCTACACCAAAAGTTTCTACTTGACCAAAATCCATCTTAGACGGGTCTCACTTGGATGTCCAGGTGCACAGAAGATGGTCACTAAGCAGCAAACCATCGGTCACTAATGGTGAATGAAAGCAACATTTGTTAAACTTCAAAGACCTATAGTTAAAGACCAGTGGTGTTAACGATACATTATAATAATTAGCAACATATTCAGGCACTTTACGCCACATTACGGAATTTTTCCGTGTGAGCGACTGAATACAAGCCCAAATAAGACAACTAGCCGTTCGTCTGTGTCGAGAGCGAAGGCTATGTAAATATGTGTAGGTGAAGCTGGATGATTCGATTAGGATGCGGGCAACTGGTCCCACATTTCACGAGTGACCAAAACTTTCCGCTGGCGCGCCTTAAAAGAGCATTTTATGCTCCGGGACGTCAAAGTGTAACACATTTGGGACAAACTGCGGTCACCCAAAGTGATCGCTCATGCTTATGGGAACGTGCACTACTCGTTGGTAAATAGAAAAATTTAGGTATTTATTTGTTTTTACGCGCATTCTTAACATATACCGTGAACGCATAATTTATGCTGGTAAATGCCTTTAACCATAAATCAATTCCCAAATTGTAATGACGCAAAAGTAAAGTCGTAAAGTTAAACCAAAAGTTTCTTGAGTGACCGCGATTCTGCCTAAGTGTGTCCAACTGGGTTGGTCATGGCATACAAACTGTCACTTAAGGAGTGTAGCACCCCCAAAAATAACTATTATCTTTTGTATACAATTTCACCGATGACAAATTGTACACTATTCTTTCTTGTTTTAATCTCCCTTGCATTACGTCCATGTTGACCTATATCCGGCTTGACACTGGACTGTCTTGTAAGTTCCTGCGCTAACGTGTTCCTGCTGTTTTGCTTTATCCGTCCGCGTCTTCCTGTAGCCTTCTGATATTTGCGCACCGTCTTGGACTAGTATTTACCAGTACTACCAATTGGTGAGCCAGATTCGCACGCGCAAATTTAGATTATTTTTGTCGTTTGTATATTTTAGTGAGTTCGTCTCATTTGCTCGAGTGTATACGTGTATTCGCCTGCTTCTTGCGTAAGTTTACTAGTTTCATTGTGGTTTTGTTCATGATTTATCTTTTCGATTCACGTTTCAAAAGTGACATCTGAGTCGTTCCCCAGCGTAACCATGCTTATTTTGGCTGTTTCAAGTTTCATTGAACACAACCCAGAGGTTTGGTTCGCGATATTCGAGATTTAACCGGAAAATATGGGCATTCAAACGGATCGTCTGAGGTAAATCATCTCGTCCCACGCCTTCCTTCGTCGGTTGTGACGCTGGTTGAGGACATAATAATTTGCCCATCGAATGAGGCAAACTATGAAGTTAATGATTCTAAAAGAGTTACAGCCCAGCGCACGAGCTCGATTTGTACAGCTCAATGGTCTCAAGCTGAGAGATCGCAAGCCGTCGATGTTGCTCCGCGAAATTCAGCGCATCGCCAGTCCCTTATTCTTGAGCGAAGAAGGAATAAAGAAACTGTGGTTTGCACGTCTCCCAGAGCCGTTGCCGGTAATGCTGCCCATGTGTCTGGATACACCCCTGAATGAACTGGCTACCAAGGCAAACGCTGCGTTCGAACCTCTTCCGCAGCAGATGACCAGTAGCTCCGGTGACGTATTCTCACCGATGAAAACCGAGTCTCGTACATGCTCCAAGTCTTCAGGCCGATCTGACCCTAAAGACGAGGAAATTGCGCTACTTCGCAGCAGGATAGCAGCAATGAAGTCTTCGAAGCAGTGTGTGCCACGGTCAGGTGCTGACCACGTTTTGGCTACCGTTCATTGCGGCTCGTCTGTGCCTGCACCGAGTACGTCTCGTTCGACAAAAAAAGCGCAGCATTTTCTCTGCACGTTCTCAGTCCGACAATAACAAATCCGTCGAAATATTATGTTGGTAATACTGCCAACATGGTGGAAGAGCTAGACATTGTCCGGCTCCCTGCATTAAGCACGACTCAGCCGCTTCAAGGAAAGCGAATAGCCCGCATACTAGCACGACCAACGTATCCGTCAATAACCAAACAAATCGCCTGTTTTACATTAAGAATCGACGTTCTTCCATCACGTTCCTCATCGACACAGGAGCGGAAGTCAGCGTCATCCCTGCGAACGCGAATGACAAGCACTCAAAGCCTACATGCCAACCTGCGTGCGGCCAAGGATTCTCCGATAGCTTCATTCGGTCAGCGCATGATGAACCTGGACCTCAATCTCCGCCGAGATTTTCAAGCATCTTCATGGTTGCGTCTGTACCCTTCGCAATTATCGGTATCGACTCCCTTGCGACACTTTCGGGTTGCCTGTTGATGCTGGTCGCTACAGACTTTTAGACGACCTTACTAAACTAGGGGTTGAAGGCGTTCTTACGGACGCTGCGATAATCCATCCCGTTTTCCTAATCCTCGACATACCTTCAGATTATGCGAACCTACTCTCTGAATACCCGCGGCTGCTACGACCAGCTGCAGAGCTTCCGCGAGTCACGTCCAAGGTCAGTCATCACATTGTCACGCGCGGTCCGCCAACGAGTGCCTGACCAAGACGACTCGCCTCCAACAAATTACGTGCCGCAAGAGCTGAATTCGATCACATGCTTCAGCTCGGTATCATAAGACCATCCAACAGCCCATGGGCATCATCTCTCCACATGGTTCCGAAGAAGATTATGGGGGACTCGCGTCCTTGTGGCGATTATCGATCATTAAACAAGGTAACCACGCCTGATCGCTATCCGATCTCACATATGGTGGACTTCACCGCTAGTCTGGCTGGTGAAATCGTTTTCAGTAAAACCGACTTGGTGCGCGCTTACTACCAAATTCCGGTAGCGGAAGCGGACATCGGTAAAATTGCCGTGATGATTCTATTTGGTTTGTTCGAGTTTCCGCGCATGCCATTTGGTCCAAAGAATGCCGCGCAAACTTTTCAGCGCTTCATCGATCAAGTTTGTCGTGGCCTAGACTTCGCCTATGTCTACCTCGAGGACACCATAATCGTGAGCTCCTCACGCGAGGAGCACCTAGGCCACGTTCGATCGCTTTTGATCGTTTATCTCAACACGGGGTGAAGATCAAAGCAAGTGTTCGTTTGGTGTTGCTTGAGTCAGTAATCCCGGATAACATATCTCTTCGGTAGGCGTCGTGTCACTACAGAATAAAAGTAAGGTCATCATCGACTACCACGAGTCTCACTCTTTTAAACAGCTAAGATGCTTTGGTGGCCTCGTCAACTTTTATCGCCGTTTCATACCTAGTTGCGCTTCGCTGATGCAACCCCTCAAGGACCTTCTCCGGGGGAAGCTTAGGAAATTCGATCATCCTGCTGCAGCACGCGCCGCCATCCAGACTGAAAGAAGCTATTGCCAACAAAGCTTATATAGCGCATCACCAACCAGTAGCCCCACTGTCGTTCATTACCGACGCTTATGACGTGGCATTTTGGGCGGTCTTACAACAAAAGGTAGGTGACGCTTGGCAGCCGTCATCGTTCTTCTCCAAATGTCTGAAACTTCCCGAACCTCGTTACGGTACTTTCAGTGGAGAATTATTAGCCATTTATTTATCCATAAGTTATTTCCGACATGTCTTAGAAGGCTGCTCCTTCGCCGGCCTAGCTTGCCGAACTACCTCCTCGTGGAGCCAGCTGGGTGGTTCGTGTGTAACCCGTTCCAGCAAAGTGTTCGGCGACAATGTTCCACCTCAGTGGGTCATTGTATTCCAGAAGGTGTGCTGACTTCATGGGGAGTATTGAACCCCTGTTTGGTAATCTACCAAACAAAGACGCATAAACTGAACATTCAGTCAACGCCTCCCAATGAGCGCGATTCCCTAAATTCGCCCCGCTGCCTTGCGGGTAGGTTATTTAGCCAAAGTCTCGGTGTGGAGTCCACTAAGTCAACTCCCTACTTCGGCTTGGGCAACCGGGTAGTATCACGCCCTCTCGCAAAACCATGGAGTGTATTACAACGTGCTCATCAGCTACTGTTTCTGCTAGTCACTTTCACGCTACTTCATCACACGCCAAGTGTTTGCTTGTTAACAATCCTCACTTTCCGTTACCCGATTCATGTGTTCAACAATCTGGCTGCGATTCCGGTTGCGCCGCAGACCAAGGAGTTCAACCTATGCCTCTCCTTCGTCCCCGATCCTCGTTCCGTCTGGTGTGCTCCAACGTCCCGACACTCATGCAGATTGGACAGCAAGCCGGTCTAGCGCGCACCCTAGGTTCCCTAGACATTGATGCCTGCTGCCTTTCATAAACCCGATTGCAAGATCCCAGCGCTGCGCTTACATTGACATCCTCCACTGACTGTCGCCGCCGCACCTTCCCGAATTCATGCGATCCCTGCCGACGCCTGCACAGCTATCGACTTGAGAGCCAAGGCCGCAGTGTAAATCAATGATCCTGAGGTTGATATACTACACGGGTCTTCTTGAGTGGACATATGACCCGTTCCGCTGACATCATCAGACGAAACTATACTTTGCGATTTATTTCTGAGCACGCCGCGGCCAGTTGTACCACGCGTCCCAACAGAGTAGTTGGCGCGTCGCATGGGTTATCTTACCCATGCGTTCGTGCATCGGTTAAAACGATGACCGCACGATCCGTTTGGTGCAATGTCAACCTTGATATCCGCACTTGTGCTACCGCTTGGCTTCCGTGTCAACGCGCGAAAGTGCATAAGCACATGAAAAGCTTGGTAGAAAGATTTCCCACGTCAGAGGCACGTTTTCAACACATGCACCTCAACCTCGTAGGTCATCTGGTGCCTTCCAAAGACTCTGTATATCTATTGACCTGTGTCGACCGATTTACTAGATATCCGAAAGCTATTCCCCTACATGACTGTTCTTCGGAAACGGTAGCGAAAGATTTTCCGGAGGGCTGGGTAGCTCAGTACGGCTGTCCCGCCATCGTGACCACCGATCGAGGGTCACATATTTCGTCTACATTTGCCACGTTGCTTAAGGATTTGGCTGTCGCCACGTTCCGACAATGGCAGCTAACGGCATGGTGGAGCGTTTTTACTGCCAAGTGAAGGCCACGCTACGTGCGCACGCAGATCCATCATGGTCGGAAACACTTGGTCTCGTCCTCTTGGGCTTAAGAAACACTGTTAAAAAAGACTTCGACGCAACACCAGGGCAGCTAGTTTACGGCTATACCCTGCGGTTGCCCGGACAGCTGGTAACATCAGTCCCGTCTACTTCCTCCTTCGACTACGGAAGTTACACCGATCGGTTGGCTCACCATGTGCGTAAGCTGAGCCCACCCACTTCAAGGTTGCAGAAGACACTAGTGTATGTGCCCGAGAAGCTGTCTACGTACTTACACGTCCTTTTTCGCGAAGATGGTGTTCGACCGCCTCATCAGTCGCCGTACATAGGACCTTTCAAAGTGCTACAATATGCGATTCAGACGTATACGATAGACCGTGGTGGCCGACGCGAAGTTGTCACCACCAGCTGTCCGAAGCCTGCCTTTATGGAAGAAACCACTACGTCTATTTCGTCTGGTACTACATCGTGCGACATGAAAACCCACCGCAAAGCTTTCAGCATCCTAATGTAGTCTAATCAGTCTACAATCCCGGTCTACAAGCATCGGCCGTCCTGATATCTGTCGAATCTAGTCCGCTGCCACCAAAAACCAATCATCGTGGTCGGAAGGTTCTAAGCCTGTTCGCTTTTCCGACTATATACAAAGTAAATACGTTTCGGTTTGTAACTATTTGCCCCGCTTTTGGTCTACTAACGTTCTGAAAATACAGAAAAGCAATAACCCGATAAACCTAATTAAAATATCCAAAAACCAAAAAACCCCAATTTTTGCATGCAGACCATACGTTTGTTCTTCTAGACGTGTTCTGCGTGGGATTTTGCTTTCTTGTCTCTACATGCCCCAAGCCTCCCATTCGATCGACTGGCCCACATGAGCGACGTTTTCGAGGATGGCCACAGTTAAGGAGGATAAAGACGCGAAGACGTGTCTTATCTCCGCGGCAAGAAAGGTCGTTTCTTCATGGGATGTAGTTCGTTACTTTGTTGGATGATGATCATTTCTCCGTGGGACGTGGGTCATTTTGGCGCGGGGAGGGGTGTTGCGAGAGGAGAAACACCTCCCAAACGCACCGATTGGCACCAGCGTAGGTTAAGGTCCTGTCGGCCTTCTTCCTGGGCTAGCAAGTTTTTTTGAAGCCCGACAAGCCCGCTCCAACAGCTCACCGAAATGCACCCTGACCTGAAATCAATTAATGATAAATCACAAACGAAACAGAGGACTCCGACTTAAAGCGAACCCCCATTTCACCCGAACACCCACACACTCACTGGGCACGATTTTACCCAACGAAGTCCGATTCACCCGTCATTTTCGATATCGAAGGCTTCTTTTGTTTCGCCTTCTAAAGGGCGGAGCTCTGGAGTGCCCCAAAAGACAAGTATTATCTTTTGTGCACAAGTTTACTGACGACCAATTGTACACTATATTTTCTTGTTTTAATCACCCTTACATTACGTCCATGTTGATCTACATCCGACTCGACATGACTGCCTTGTAAGTTCCCGCGCAAACGTGTTCCTCCTGTCTTGCTTCAACCGTCCGCGCCTTCCTGTAACCCATCGAGTACAGTCCGCTGTGTCCGACTCCAAATGAGTTACGATATTCCGGCATCGTCTCGGACTAGTATTTACTAGTCTTACAGGAGCTACAATAATCACTCGCGATGACTGAACTCGAGATTACATCAAAAAGTAGACTTGTAGGAACATATGGCGGTGTTAATGATGCACAATAATATTTGACAACATATCTGGACATATTACGCCATTTGTTTTTATGTTTACGTTTTTATCTGCGCGGACAATAACCCGGACAAATAGATAATTGGCCATTCATTATATGGTGGAGAGCAGGAGATTGAGACTGTATTTAAGAGCAAACAGAATGGCTTCTGTACAACTCTAACGAATGATGAAAAATCAGAAACATTTAATTGTAAATCGTTAGCGGTTGTGTTTAGTCAGTCAATCGTTTATGTTTGTTCGGTTAGGAATTCGTATTCGTGTCATTATTTCCGGGTATACGATGTCTTCTTTTGGCATTGTGTGTACATCGTTTCACAAAAGCACAAGTTTCCGAAATAAGCGTCGATACGTGTTGTAAAACACTTCAAAGAATCGGCCTCTATTAATCCTTCTGGTAGTGTATTCCATAAATTTACGATTCTTTGTTCTATACAATCTGATGTGATACCTTGTTTATGCAGGGAACCCTGAGTTTGTTATGGTGACCTCGGGTGTTACAGGATTCCCGCTGGTAAAATACTGGCCGCAGTATGTGGAAGTGATTCAAGTGTAGTACTCGATGGGTTATAATAAGGTCGATTCTTACTTCGCGGTAGAATAGTGTGTAGAGTCCGAGCCTTTCACAGCGTTTTTCATACGGAAGATTTCGTAGACTCGATATCATTCTAGTTGCGATATCCTGTATTTTCTCTAACTTTTCAGTTTTCCACTGGGTTATCGGATGGCAAGCTGGGGCACCGTATTCAAGAATTGGTCTAATGAGTGAAGTGAACAGACGAGGAACGGTTTCTTCGGAACATGTGGAGAAACTGCATCGTAATACCCAGAGCATACGAAGTTCCGCACGGTACAATTTCTCTGTACTTTCTAGTGATCCATATCATGTCGCGACAAAACACCTAAGTCTCTGACAGATGTGTTAGGGTGGAGCAACTGGTCGTCCAAAATGAGTGATTGAGTGGCCGGACCCACAGTGAAATGATGAACTCTAATTTGCTTGCGTTAAGAGGGAGTGGCATTTTAGTGGGCCACGTTGAAAGTCGTTCTAAGTCATGCTGGAAGCGAGCGCAGTCGTCCTGGTTCTCAATGATCCACCAGATTTTCAAATCATCTGCAAACAAGGTACATGGTGACTGGAATTGCTGAGGAAGATCGTTGATATGAATAAGAAATAATACTGGCCCAAGTACAGTACTTTGAGGCACGCCACTGATCGATGGGAACCAGTCTATCAGGTAGTCATTGACCTGTACACTAAACTTTCGACCCACAACAAACTCGTGTGACCACTGAAGTAGCGTGTCACCGATTCCGTAAGTCCACAGTTTACGAAGGAGTACTTCGTGGTTCACTCTTTCAAACGCCTTATTAAAGTCGATGTAAACCACGCCAAAATCCTTCTGTTCATTGAGAGCTCGTACACACTGGTAGTTTGCGTACATCAAGTTGGTGATGCAGGATCGCCCATTCGTAAAGCCGTGTTGCGCTGGCGTTAATAAGTCCATCGATTCGAAGAACGACAGCAGACACATTTTCACAAGCTTCTCGAGAACTTCGGATAATAGCGAAGTCAAACAGATCGGTCTACCTCTTTTTTAGTTGGATCACCATCCTAGGGAAGCGACCTCAATATCAAGTATATCCAGTCGTTGGGGACAGATCCTTCAGAGAGTGATTTATAGAACAGGTTTGTCACGGCTGGCAAGATGATAATCGATATGGACTTCAGTATTAGTGGGTGAAGTCCGTCTGGTTAGGGTGCTTTGCACCATGGAGCTTAACGAGTACCTGATACACTTCAACTGCAACACATTGTAGGCTATCGAGCAAAACTGGCGCAACCTGTGCCGGTACTGGAACAGCCGCCTGTTTACTGGAAAATAGGGTGAGGAAGTGCGTAGCCAAAGCGTTCGCGCGCTCCGCGCTTGTAATGTATGTTTGTATTCTCAACAGTCTATTAGCTAGACAAAGAGCCAACATAAAACCAAGGAGATAAGGAGATAAGCAAGATTCATGGCACCATAATCATCGTGGCATGCTAGTTGAAGGTGAGCAACACATTTCAACTAATATGCCGCAGGAAGAATGGAACATTTTGATAAAAAGCAGAACAAAACATTTTTAGTTTGTTTTTCACACGCCACTTTTGTTCTTTTTTTGTCATTTTAATGTTTGTAGAATTAAACATGTGAATCAATACAATGTACACAATTCTTCCATTGATTCCGGTTGCGGGCCATATCTTCAAGAGTGCCAAGCCATTGGCACTCCTCATCTTTGGGTCCCCATCCTGGAAGACGTACGGATCCAACAGCGGCTAGACACGACGTCAGCGACTTCATGTGCTGCCGCCAAGTGGAGGGCTGACCACCACGCGGTCGCCTCCAGCCAGGTCCTTGACGAGCGGATAGAGCGCGACGCGGTAAAGGCACAGGTGCCATGCGTAGGACGTGACCGAGCTATCTCAACTGGCGCAACAAAACCAGTTTGTTGAAGGGAATACTCGCATTCCCCAAGATGCGACGTCGAACGTCATTACTATTAACTGGAGGCTGACTTTTCAAGCCGGCAAAGATTCTTTAGAGTGCAGTTATGGCCGATGATTCTAGCAACTCTTCGAACTGCCGGCGTTTCTTGATTTTTGCGGGGTTACATAAGTTTGGCTGTTTCTTGTACACTGTGTAATCGTCACAACCCGAGCTGATGTATCTAGCCCAAAGTTTGCGACGCAGTCGCGCTAATTGTC